ATCTGAAAGAACATACAGGATATTGAAGATAACCTAAATTTGCTGAGTAAATTAGTACACTACCGAATTGTTGCATTTTCAAGATTATTATTATTATTATAGAGTTACAAATCTTCCTAAGTCATTCAACAACTATATATTATACTACAATTATTATAAACGAAAGGATTTGGGTCATAAATATTGTGTGAACTGCATTTGCCCTTATAGTTTGGAGTGAGTGGAACGTTCTGAACGTTTTTTAGTCGTATATCATACGTATTTTACTAAAGGAGATATTTACATGATTTATCATATGCAACAGTGAACCTAGTTGGGTACGTCTTTCTACAAAGTATGTGCATATACACGAGTAGCATCGTACAACATCGAGCGCAAGTCCATATTCTTCAATGCACCTTCTGTTCAGCGAACGAGAGGCGTCTCTGACCGTTAATGTCCGCTACAAAATGTCATTAATTATTTTAACGAAGTGGATTGGAAAACTAGTTGAAAGCGGATGAAAGGAAAAACAAGGTTTTAGTCTGATTATATAAGAATCTATCTCATTTTTATTTTTTTAGGACACAAGCTTGCCCTGGCTTATCTATCTGAGCTTTGCTGATCAAGCGCTTTGGCAATTGGGATACGGGTTCAATGAACGAGGCTTACGATTTGTACCGATGTAACCGATAGGTTAATTCCTCGCAGAAGTAACGTTCTTTTTGAAGAAACAGGTTGTTCCCAATAAGTTCTCACGGAAAAAATTACATATTCCTAGCGACAAAAACTGTATCGATTCAGTGTGCCTTAGCAAATATTGATGGTCACCGGGCAACTGGTAGTGTCACAAGGGACCTAACTTGTGTCCAGTCAAGTTAAAATAGCTTTACGTACCTCCAATGGCACCTCAGAGGACATAGGTACTATTCCATAGGAGACATTCTACTCAGCCGTATTTGTAATAACACAGATCGGATTATTCAGAAATTTGGGCGGTCGGTGCAGACAGTGGGATGGAAAGGCAAGGGAACGTGTTGGCGTGATTTTTAGATCCCTATTTTATAGCGCAGTCGTAACGACTCGATGAACAGAGGTTAGTATCAAACAGTCTGTCCTTTCTAACGACTTTCTCCAGTTCAGATCTGATTGTTTCAGAATAGGGAAAATATGATCCTAAATTAAGCTATATGTTATAACAGCGAGGTTGTGGTCACAGCTTAATGACTTTTTAATAAAATGCACAAAAAATCTGCGAGATTCGCCAAATCACAATAGCACTAATAATTTTTACCAGTATACAGCACGCGGCACATCATAAATAAAATTTCTCATAGTAAACTAAGCGTAACGTGTCTGTTTTGTAGGTGAGAAGGTGCGTTTACAGTTTGGCCTATTCTGGCAGTCAATCTTGCATACTCTCATCTATCCGACGCGGTAGAAGTTTCCACAGCATTTCCATACACCCGATGTTAAAGTAAGTAAAACTCTCATACGAGATCAGAGTAACGTGAACTTTTATTTTTAGAGCGCGGCCATCGACAACTGTCAATGAATCGAAATACTTAGATTATTATAATTACAATAATATTAATTATTATAGTTATTATGCCTACCCTATTATTTATCAACGATTTTATTCAAACGCGCTGTATAATATCTATATTTTTTTGCCTTTTAGCCGGTAGCAAAACAGTAGCATACGTAATTCATTCTACACGGCCATTTTACCCGGTAGGCGCAGTAATCCAGCTAAGGTAACATTGCATGTTTACATACTTCCAGACAAAAATTCACTCAATTGCTCAGTTAGTATATACTTCATTTCCAGGCGCAACATTGACTGCGTTTCCCCGATTACGAAACAAAAGAAGGAATAACTGATTGAAAGAACAGAAAATAGTTAAGAACTTCTTCGGATCGTTTGTTTTGCAAAATTGGATAGTTTAGTAAAAAATCTAAAATATTTGTTAACATAAATCGCTTTTTCTAACCTCTCCGTTATAGCACTTTCTTATTGAACGAAACTGAACGTTGATTCAGATACCTCAGGTGAGCAAGGTATGTGCCCTCTAAAGGCTGTTGCATGCATAGTTGACGGTAAGTGCGAAGTTGCGTCGGAAGATACAACGAAGGACCAGGCCGAAGTAGGTGATGGATTCGACTAGCTGAGTCGCTTTGCTCGAGACCGACGCCAGAACACGATAACTGTACAAATCTCGTATTCTTCTCTTTGCTCTGTTGCTATTGCCTGCTTACTATGCTTTGAAGCCGAAAAGAACAAACGTTGACTATCCATTGGACAGGTAGAGGACACAACCAACCCCTGAGTGGAGTTAATTTCTATTGAACCACAAGCAACTTTTGTTACTTAGTACAAACGCCATCGATCGGTGACGTTAGTCGTACTGTTGATAGAGACAATGCTTTTAGTAATACTGTTCCACCGCTGATCGTCTGGTGGTAATGCTTTTGCGCAATTTTTGCACAGCAATTATCTTCTAAATATCTTCGTTATTCGTTTAACAAAGCAGATTAGGCCGAAATAAAGGCATACAAGTACGCTAAACGTGTGCATGCGATCTTCAGTTTAACAATATGTTTTATACGCAATATAACTTGCCCTGCGAAGACAATCAATTTTGCCTTTTACTCAGTCAACCGATATCATATAATGCCACCTTTTCCGAGTCAACCGCACGCAGCTGTTAATACTGCGTGTCCAGCAGCGTTCACTAGGCTTACGCTATCGATAGTGTTATGTAGTGTTGGTGGGCGAACGAAAACGATACGTTGCTCTATATACGTACGCAGGGTTTCGCAAAAATATATAAAAGCGTCATTATTCTGACGCGGTTGCAGTGATTGGACTCTCAGTACGTGATGTGAATACATTATAGATTTTTAGATTGTGGTTTGATGAGCTCCTGTTCTAGTATAAGCGTCTACCGATGATACCATATCAAAAGGCATCTCGCTGTAGAAAATGAAAGACCAAATGCTCAGTACCTAAATAGTTTGCCATTTGTGTACATTTACATCTAAATGGTCTTTCACATTACTACTTCACTAACACATACGGGCGCCCGTTTCAGCCGGCTCAAGAAGGGAAAGCTACCTAAAGAAGTGGCATATACATAGTTGCTCCATTGTTTCAAGTTACCGGATTAATTAATGCAATAAGAGGAAACGGATCACGTAGTTGGTTAATTGAGGAATAGAATTTCGCTTGTGGGTCTTCAGAAGCTGTCTTCGCCGAGTCCCTTACACAACGTTTGATTGTACAGCATGGTAGAAGAATTTACAATCTGTTTAGTACAATGTTTTCTTTGGGTGCTTCTGGTGTACATATATACATGACATTCTGCTTGAGCAGGCACATCAAGTTTCAGTTCGAAAATAGGGTCGCTGGGTTCGAATCCGAGATGTAATGTATTCGTAAAATGCGTAAAATCGAATCCCGCTGCAATGGCACTTCGAAAGCAACAGAAGGTAATATTAGGTTTCCGGTGTACAGACACCCACGACGAACCTACTATTGTCCAGTATGATGGATTACATAATTTAGATTTGAAGCGAAGTGAAGTTGCGAATGCAAATAGACGTCATACTTATTTTTCAATCAAGCCCCTTCTGAATATAAACAAAAAAAAATTAGTACTGTCTATACTGCACCCCTGGATTGGTGGAGTGATTCAACAATGTGAGGTTGCATGGGGGTATTTGTTGTCCTTATTAGCGGCAGCTGTAATTTGACAATCAAGGCTTGACAGAGATTTATCACATCAGCATCTAGATATACCGTCATGATCCACTTTCTGCTTTAGGCGCATTGTCGGAAAGGCAGCTTATAATTTCCGTAGTTTCGGTCCGGCAATTCTATAGCTGCCGCTAGACTGAAAACACTCAAACAGAGATTTTGAGCTTTGTTTCCTATGGGTCCATACTATTCGGTGTAGATAAGGATCAGCGCATACGGATCTGACGTGCCTATAACAATTGTCAACTGCGAAACAGATAAGATACAAAAGAATATACGACGTCAGATTGTCATACGGCAAATTTGGCTAGGTCTGTGTTACGAGTATCCAGTAAGAGACCACATCAGAATTGAAAAGTCAATATTTTTTGTGTGTAAAATGCCAAAATAGTTTTTGATATGCCCTTATTAAATTACACATGCAGATTTGCCGTTAGCACCAAAAGCAAATTACGACCATTTATTACTTACAATACGGCTAGCTACTTTTTTAGGTTGTACAAACTACTTATATTAGTAACGTGGCCCGTCACTTAGCGTTCCTGGTCTCAATTTTTCTCACGGCCCTTACCAGAACATGGTTTTGGTTTGTCTATCGTGATTTTTCTTCTAATCTTTAAATCTCCTATTAAATGCCCAAAAAAGATGAAATCGTACCTATAAAATTTACAATTAAACTTTTTGGTTGATTTTTTCTCTCCTTATTTTCAAATCAACTGGCTTCTTATGACAGATTATCAGGCTAAGGTTTGCAGTGCTATTCGCATAATTGGTCCCGCGGATTCGGATCAAAGTGACAGTGATAGTTCCACTCCGCACGATTTTACCATAAGTATAGTACTAACATTGGCGTGAGACGTCTTAATAGAACTGCATCTTCATCATCTTTTAATCAAGTCCCGCCGTGGCACCGGGAACGACGACGACGACGACGACGACGACGACGACAGCAATAAATGTCGTCGTATGGATGTGAGCATGTGGCTCACCCAACTGGCCGGGAGGAAGGATAAAGGAAGATAAAGGCAAGGAATCCTTAAATCATTTCAATTACGTTACCCCATTCGTCTATAACTGCTCATTCTGATGTCTGGCGTCGGAAGCTTTACTGCTAATCTTGTTGTTTTTGTTGTTATTGCATCGGTGTTGTTATAGCAAGCACCAACAGTGCGCTCTCGCTGGCTCTAGCCTGTACGTCGTCGCTGGTCTTCAGCAGTATTCGACGATCTTCAGCTGTCTTAGCCCGACCGCTTAATGACGCAGTGTACCGTCGGCGGCAGCGACAACGGTGGCGGCTAGCGACATATTCTGTAGCGAAGTGGCGAGGGGGAAGTCCCGTCTGGGAGAGGAGGTGCTAATGTCGAGCTGTTGCTAGTACAGCGTGAAAACGATGTACCGGTCAGTTCTAGGCCTAACGGAAGGGCGTCCACGTCGCTTTGCACGTTGACACCGTAGACGGCATGCCACAAAAAGAGGAACAAGGGAACGAGCTGCCAGACCAAATAGATACAGCGCAGAATAAATAACTTCGTGCTAATGAGGAATGGTCTTACGCAGCCGCAGTGTATCATCTTGTTGCTGACACGTTATCAGCCGGTTTCTCAGTGTTGTGTGTGTATGTACGTGCGTATGTTTGTGCACCTTTTGATCCACAACTGTGTACAAAGGAGCTCCGCAGCAGATACTGCATACGTTCCGGATGATTGGCTCAATGTGAAAGAGAAAGTGGAGAAAGGACACATGTGCCTGTTTCTAAGCAAGATTCGCTATACAAACGTGTTGTTCGAGGAGACTGTACGCTAACATTGAATACGAACGCCTGCATCTGAGGATTTCTGTTGATACATGTGATAAACATACACTTCTATATTGCCGAACACGCACAAATATAAAGTGGGTGCGTGTAGAAAGATCACGTGCACGTTGGATAAAACTTTGCATACTACTGGATATTACAAAGGAAACAAAGCATCGCAGGCAGCGTAACCGTATGTTGTACCTTTTGTTTGTCTTAATTTCGCGTCACTTGTAAGCCTACGAGATACTGTTAATAGTCAGACAGGTGGATGTCTGTACCTGAACAAAGAACCTGAGAAGTAACTGGTCCTTATAGCACTGTCACATTTCGCTTGACGAATACACTTGCTAAGAGTAAAGCTGTCCAAATATCTCATGATATCTTAATCATGGCCTTATTGTGAAGCGCCTTTCAATGTATTATTGTCTATAAAAATTTTTGCTCCACTCAATTCTATGACCTTGGCCGTATCATCTTCAGTTCCAGTAGATGTGATCATTACTGTCTATTGACGCTGCGATCTTGCTTGTGCAATATATGTATATATATATATATATATATATATATATAAGAAAATGGCTCATTTCTGCACACTCTATTACAATACAAGGTGACTGTTTCTATTTAAACAAAAAATTCCTCTTATAGATAAATCTAAGGACTAATTATTATGTTAAACGACGCTGAAAAATTATGCATTATTTGTAGACATAGCAATGCCCTTTATCATAAAAGGGCATTGCTATGTCTAGTATATATATATATATATACATATATATAGCATTAAGTAGCTGCCTGGAAAACTGACTTTCATACTACGATGATGCTTGTCATCAGCCTGGTTTCGGAAACTACTATAATTACTCCAGACAATTTGGTAACTCGTCGGCGTTATCAGTCTGACTTATTCGCTGGCCGCGCGCTCCTGTACTCCTCTGTGCGCAGAAGTGTCGTGTATCTATACATGTGAGTGACATTACATACAACAGCGATGTCATCATAAATTTAGCGAAAACTGGCAGAAACTTCTTAGCGGCTTTTTTGGCCATTGGCGAAACGAAGGCAGTATCCAATTCCCGACTCTGCGTCGCTATCCCTTGTTGGTGTCTACCATCTGCGATCTACCAGTCTGAAGCTATTGTGCAGCTGTGGGTACGCACCTCTTCCCCTATATGTTTTGCTGTTGGCTTTTAATGCGGTTATAGCCAGGAGGTCTCTGAACGACGCCAAATCGCCATCACCGGGTCGAATACTGTGCTCTGCGCTACTCGTTATCTTTTACCTTGCCTTTTCTCGACCTAAATTTGTTTCCTCAAGACATTTTCTCCTTAAAAGTTGACCGCACGCCGTATCGATAGCAGGCAGCCATCGCGAAGCACCAAACGGTGGTGGGGGTAGCGGCGGCTCGCCACGTCCAACCTCCGTCTGGAGTTTTACGTCCGACACCATGTTAGGCATTCCACCGGACCGACGGCTGACTGCCAGCACAAAGCGAAGTCTGTCTATGCCAAGGTTCAAACCTAGACCACAACGTGTTTCTAAGATTAGCATGCAAATACGTCACCCATTAAGCTATCACGGGGATGTCCAGCCTGCATCGCATTCTCATTACCATTAATGAGCAAGAAAGCTTGACGTATGACCTGTTAACTGGCCGTTTGGCTAACGGCAGTCTATCGCTCACTACCCAGTGCACTTTTTTTTTAATTTCATTTTTATACACTTCGGTGAAGAATGGAGCGATGGCACTCCCGACTGGACGCCATGCTCGGTACGGCCCTATTGCTTTGACTGGCCCGACCCGACGCAGCCTAGCCCGATGCCGTTCGATTTGAGTTAGTCGTTTGATGCCTAGTTAGCTGGACGTCGTATGGCTTCCAGCTTTTAGTTATAAATAACGAAAATTTTAAGACACGTGCCGAAAGTTGTTTTTGTTTGCGGATATGATCAGTTCCCTTCCTTATTTCGTCCCGACTATATTTTCTAACCTCGTAGCAGATAACCGCACCCCAGTTCGCAGCCGCGATCGGAACTTTTCCGTACCCCCTGACTCGTTTATAAGCTTAATTTTCAGTCACTGGTTCTTACCACCAGTTAACTTGTTGCCCGACTCACCGCCGGTGGTAGCATTGTCGTTTTTTCTACTCTTTTCGTCTGTTCCATTTTGATGTGGAATAGGGCCAGATCCAGATATTTGCTGAGTCTTATTTCTGTCCTGATAGGCCAACCTCAACGGCGAGTGCAGTTGTCCAGGGACAGGATTCTATGAGTGTGAATACTACCGCGAGATTTTGGGACAATGTCGTTTGGTAAGATAGTCGTCGCATCGGTGACTAAATGTGACGACAGCCGCAGTTCGCAGGCACTGGCTCCCCTCGTTCATCTCCTGTTATTTGATTTGTGATTGCCATCTAGCGCGCAGGACATTGCCAAATAGTCTGTCGGTGGTCGACTGTCGCCGGGCGTGCGTTTTGTTTTGGTTCCTTCTCTTTTTTTTGTGAACTTGTTAAAAGCAAAACGCTGAATGATTTTTAATGTGGCCGTTCCCCTTCTTTTTATGTCTGCTGTTTTCACTGCTGCAGCTGCCGTCGTGTCTCTGAGTCCTGTTGCCGCCGTCATTCCATTGGTGACAGTAGCGGAACTGTTCTGAAGCTGCCTATAACCGCCGATCTCCGCGTGTTATTTTAGCCGGTTAAGACTGCCGACCGCACTCATCGTCCGCTGCGTGAACTATTTTCTTTATCTTTTTCGATCTTCCTCTTGGCGCTCTTGTTCTTGCAAGCTCTTTGCCACCGTTGCCGCTCAGCGCTCCGTGTCGCGTCCACGTCGATTAGCGGGCGAGAAAGCCACAAAAGAATACATTTGGGTGTGGGGGAGGGTAAAAATGAGCGGACGCTTTGACAGATGAACCAGACTTAATACGATCCTTAATGTACAATCACGTAATCCCTAAAATTATTGCAGAATTTCTTCTGGTCTTCGACGTTGTCGGTAAACCGAACATTGCCCGCCAAAAATATGTCACCTCCATAGCGAACGGACCTCGTTTATTCATCCGATTCTTTATCTATAACATTTCTTTTGATCTATTTGATTGTACTTATCTCGCTGAATACACATATTGTATACTCTATACATTCATATCTATACGAGACACATGCAGTCGCTGCTAGTGCTTATCATACTTGTGGGGTGGCTTATTTCATCCGCCGGTACATGGCAATTTCGCTGAAAAAAAGTCGCGTCAAGGTTCACGTGACCGTTTTCAGGTGCCTGCATGACGCAATTCGTTGCTGTACGCCAGGAATCCACCGAGTTTGGCCTGGTTAGACAATTAGTGAAAGCGGGGAATCAATCGGAATTGCCTCACACGCGGCATTGTGGTTGTTTAACTACGTGAAAAGATGTGGGTATCTGCAGTAATCACTTGCAGTTGTCAATAAACAGCTTGTTAGCACTTTTTGCTAAGTGCTGCCAAGCAAGTATTTAGCAAATACTTCCGCGTCAAATTGGGCTATCGACATGAACAACAGGATGGCAAACGATACAGGATGCCTGGCACAGGACTTCTTCGAATCAGAAACTTGATTTATTTTTATCGAAATTCTGGATGTTGGTATCGATCAAAGTAACATGCAAAAAACAAGTTATTCGTTATTTGTACTTGTTAGTATCGCGTAGTCAGTATTCATTTTTCCACAGCATACCTAAAATCTAAAACTAAGGTCCAAATTCACACTAGTCTCATGTATAAAAGGTTGATCTAAGCAGTCAGTTCTGGTTGCAAGAGAAAGCATTGGTTCCGTATCGCGTAAGAATAGCGTTGAATGCTGTTCTGTATTTGTCTAAATGACAGTTAGCTCGTACCGGTTCCTCAAGTGTTGCAGGTTTGTGTCAGCTTTGGGGAATAACCTTCAGAGTCAAGTCGTGACCACAGAGTAGGTCAGGTGACAGGACGTTGAAAGCTTCAATTTTCAGCGTACGTTTTCCGATCACCTTTCTGATGTGTCTTTCTCGTGAAGTAAAGTCCGCCGCCACTAGGTTTTAAGACGCATTGTTTTTACGGGAATCATGACGTCCTTGTATTCTTTCTCTTTTCAACAAACAGGAAAGGCCAGCATTGAAAATACCAAGTACAATTGCTCAATGACCATTGTGCCTTAACCATGCAGCCTAGGCCATGCATCACCTGCCTTAACCATGCAAATGTTATACTTGGCGGCCATGTTCATGGCGGCTATTCGTTGTAGCTGTGTAGTTGACGCAAGTGTTTATTGCCCCAACGCTTTTTACATTTTTTTGTTGAAGATTCGAAGTAGCTGCGTATTTTACTATAGTACACATTGTTCACAGTTGACTTACTGCCTAGTACGTCTTACATACCATGACATAGGTAATAACGATCTGTCTGAAGGCAACTGGACACCGCTACAAACTATTAAGACGAAACGCACGCCATTCGTAGTAGTGAAATCAACAATAAGATAGACTTAGGTAGCGGCCTCCTAGCAGCGGCTAATAGCGACTGAAATATACGATAAAGAATAGCAATAGAACTTACAAATGGAGATCGCTCACGGACGGTAACATCGTGGCGAGACGCGGTATCGTTGACTTCTAAACCGCAGCCGACGCTGACGCGGCCTTTCCATAGCTCCCGGAACGCTCTGAGCATCCAGCGGTAACCACAGCCTGCCCGCAGTTTTTCCTTCTGCTCTTAGTCATAATGTCGTACCGAATACGATCCCTCCCGTCGCCAACTCGACCTTATGGATATTCTAGGTCAGCATATTGAAACAAAGGGCTTTTTCTTTTATCGTTACAAGAGCAATATCAGGAGCTGTTCTTAATAGAGCTTCCATCTCCATCCAATATCTCGCTGTTATTTTCAGCCCGATTCGTAAGTGACATCGAGTAATTCTAGTCATAATCTGTAGTGCAATATGATCGGCGGTCTTCAGACGCAGTCGGCTAGCCGATGGCAAACGTACAGACAGATGCGGTCTACGCAACAGCGGCTATCAGGAAGGACACGGTCGAGAAATGTGCCTTAGTCGTTATTAGGCCGTTTGTGGTTGCTCGATTTTTATGCTTGTTCTGTAGGCTACTTACGTTGACAGTGGTCGGCATTCAGTTCCGTAGCAGTAACAACGACTTGGATGCCGACAGCTTTACAAACTCTGTCGTATG